AAGGGTTGTTGGTCTAGTGGCATGATTCTCGTTTAGGGTACGAGAGGTCCCGGGTTCGATTCTCGGACGACCCCAATTTTTTTTATTTTATTTATTTTTATTTTTATTTATAACTTTATAATTTATTCAAAATTTTTATTTATTAATTTTTTTATTTTTATATTGTAAAATAATTTTTAATTTTAATTTTATTATTATTAAAATTAATTTTATATTATAGTTAATTTAATATTTAAGTTTAATAATTTTTTAATAATTTAATTTATAATTAGAAATATATTAAATTAGTTAAGAATATTGAATATCATAATTTTTAATTTAAAATTCATAAATAATTAAATATATTAATATAATTTATTATAAAATAAATACTTATAAGTGTTTTTATTTAAAACTTCTATAAATTAATGTAATGATGAGTAAAATATTATATTTAAAATATAAAAAATTTAATTATTAAAAATTAAACTTTATTTATTTAATTACAATATTTAAACTTAATGTATTTTTTTAAAAAAATATAATTAAATATAAATTTCTATAAAATATAAAATTAATTTAATATATTTTTCTATAAAATATAAATTTAATTTAATATATATTTCTTTATTATATATAATTATATTTATAATTTATTTATTTATATTAATATATTGATATTTTTCTTTTAAATATAATTTAAAATAATTTATTATATTAATCAATTTTTATCTTATAATATTTATAATTATTATATTAATTTCTATTATATATTTTAATTTATTTATTAAACTTTTATTTTAATCTAATATATATCTTATTAAATTTTCCCATTTTTTTCAATATATTTATTTATTTATTAAACAAAATTTTAATTTTCATATTCTATTTCTTCTAAATTTTCTTCAATAGTTTTCATTCTCTTTTCTAATGCCTAACTTTTTTTAATTCCATTAAAATAACTTCTTAATATTTCATATGTAGGCAAGCCCAATATAATTAAATAAACGATTCCTTCATAAAATGTTTCTACACCTTCCTATAATTTTTATGATTCCGAAATCGAAGGAATTTTCATATTTATCATTTTTTCACCACTTATACTTTTTCGTTATAAATAATAACCTAATTTATGAGATTAGTAACCCACCCATATAAACATTTCCTTTAATTTCAATTCTATTTAGCCTTGAGGCGTTTATTTATTTATATGATAATTTTTTAAATGAGTAACCAATGGCTTTGCTAAAGTTCTTATAAATACTGAAAATAATTTAAATTCTTCAACCATTTTTTTTTATGAAAAAAAAAAAATTATCTATTAATAATATTTTATTTTATATAAAATATTTTTATTATAGTAAAAAAAAATAAAAAACTCACAATTATATATAAATAATTAACTGTAATTAAAAAATTAAAATGAATAAAGATAAAAAATACACATTTTATAATAAAACATCCCTAGAATATCAATAAATAACATAAAATATTCCAAATAAGCCTTAAAAGGCCATGTCTTAAAAACTTTTAATACAAGAAATAATAAAAAAATATCGTTTCAATCGATAGGAAGTAGAATTTATAAAAAGCGTTTTGACAAAATATCATCAAAAGGTATTTTAACCTAAATTTTATTTCGAAAAAGTATGGGTATATTAGGCCTTGACCATATATCATTTATTTCCGACAGAATATTCCAACTTATAGACACTAGAAAATAAGATTAAGTTACATTTGAAGATTATATAAGATACCTAGATATAATAATAAACGGATCAGATATAGAAAAAGCGCGTATGAGTTTCCTTTTTTTAACAAATCATAATTAAAGAAAATTATTATTCTCAGATATTGAATAAATGATATATAAAATATCTATTATATGGAAAGATTTAACAGGATCTAAAAGTATATATATAAATATATATATATATAATTATATATATATATATGAATATATTTTAATATATATTTTTATTTACTTAAAAGTTATTCCATAAAAATAACATATTGACAGAGTATTTAAAAAATTAGATAAAAATAATAATGGAAATGTAAGTTTTGAAGAATATTCAATATTTTATTAATAAAACTAAGATTTTTTTGGTTGGTATGATTTATTTAATGAAGATTTAATAATAGAATAATAAATAAAAGAGATAACCAGGTAAAACACATCTAAAGAGAAAAAAATAATCGATTAATAAAAACAAAAAGATTTAAATAATACTAAAATGCATTCTCATTTAGTGAATTTGGACTTATCTGTTACTAATGTTATTCTTTCTTTAAAATAATTTGAATTTCATAATAAATAAAATACTAATTAAGGCCCTTTAGGTATTAGTATGTAGCATTTATCCCATTTTGGGGATACTTAACCAGAAGAAGAAGATGATAAAGACTTGGTGAAAGAAAAATTTTGCGTTTAAAAAATTTCCTAAAATTAATTAGAGAAAAATAATAAAATAGATGAATTGGACGAGGATTTTTTTCTTTAAAAAATAGAAGAAATTCTACTATAGTAATTAGAAAATAATAGTCTTATTTTATAAAATCTCAATAATAATATTGAAAATAGAGAAAATAGAGTTTTCTCGGAAAATAGAGTTTTATCGGAAAATAAATGCGATTTAAATATCGATAACTACCCTGAAGAAGCCGAAAATATAAACCATAATTTAACTCAGCGAAAAGCCACAATCTTTAATATTCCCACACATAAAAGAAACAAATAATTCCGTAGAAATACGTCTATATACGTCGGTCATGAAAACTGGAATTTAGTTTTTTGTATGATGATTGGCATCCAGAGTTCCATAAAAAGCCTATATATGGGTGATTAGAAGGAAATATCTAATAAAGACTTCAGTTATAAATATGTAACTGACTTAATTCATAGTTCGAACAAAGAAAAAGAGTGTATATAGTATAATTTTGTAGATTACGCTCCCTTAATTTTCGAGAAAATACGACAAGATTTTAACATAAATAGAGAAAATTACCTAAAAAGTTTAGGACCTTAGACACTTTTAGGACATTTAATTATGGGAAATATGGCTAATTTAAGTGATTTATGTGTTTCTACGAAGTCTTTTTAAAAATTTCAATATTATACGGAAGATAGTAGATTTGTGATTAAAAGTATAGGGAAAAATCAAGCTATTTTTTTTAGGAAAAAAATATTGGAGAAATATTTTTTATATATAAAAAATAACTAAAATAGTTTAATAATGAAAATTTTTGGTTTACATAAATTAAAATTTATAAAGGAAGGAAAAAAAATATATACAGTCTGTTTTATTGTCTCATATAATATATTTAATACCTCATTTTAAATAAATTATAGATATGAATTAAAAGGATCTACACATAAAAGATAAACAAAGAAAAACGAGGAAGAGTTTTTGGATAAAACTATTGCTATGAAAGATTTGGATTTTTTAAAAGATAAAAATTAAATCAAGTTAAATAGTAAAGAAAGAAATGATCTTTTATGTTAAATTTAAAAAGATTCAAAGTTTTTATCTGATAATAATATTATAAATTATTGTTTATTAACAGGATTTCATTAAAGTAAATATATATTTATATATATATTTATATATTTATTTATTTATTATTTATTTATATATATTTTATTAGTAAATAAATAGATTTTTGGATAATATTGTGTATATAAAGCAAATAATAAAAATAATGGATTTTTATATAATTAAGGTATTAACTCTAAAGATAATAATTATGTTTATTTTTTAGGTATTATTAATATTTTTACTGAATATCAGTATTTAAAAATAAAAATATTATATTTTTTACATACATATTTAATTATATACATAGAACCTAATAAAAATTAATTCATTCTTTAAAATCTACTATTTATGGAAATATAATTTCCACAATCCCACCCTTTGAATATGCTTTAAGATTTACAGGTTTTATAAATAAACACGTATTAGCTCCTAGTTCTTGATTTAAAATATAAAAAAAAAATACTAAATTATAAATTAATTAAATAATGTATATTTATTGTTTTATTTATTTGTTTTATATATAAATATTTTAATTTATTATATTATTAAAAATTATTTTATCCCTAAAAAAATATATTAATATATAAATAATGTTTTAAAAATAATAAAAATATTATATATTTCATAAATACAAAAAAAAAATATTTATTTATAAAAATTTATATATATTAATTATTTTTTTAAAAAAAATTATAATTATAATTGTATTTATAATTTCAATTTGTTTTATTTTAATAAAAAAAAAAAAAAAAATATTTTATTATATTTTTTAAATATATTAATTAATATAATTTAATTTTATAAAAATACAAATAAATAAAATATAATTAGTAATGTTAAATAATATGAAACTAGTATAAATAGTTGGTAAAAAGCAACTAATTATTATATTTAATATAATTATTAATAATAAAAAGAAAATAAAGCCTTATTATTTGCTATAGCAATTAGTACAGGAATAGTCACAAGATATATAATTCACTTAATTACAGAATTGGATAAAAATAAAAAAGAAAAATTAAAAAGAAAAGAAACAGAAAGCATCATGAAATCTAAAAGATTAAATAGCAAAAAAAAAACAATAGTTTTTAGTAATTTTTTTAAATTAAAAAATAATTAATAAATATAAAATATTTTAATACTATTTATATATATTTTTAAAATTTTTAAAGTTCATTAAATGGATAATACTATACCAAAAGAAATTTTAAATGCAAAAAATACACTTATGGAAGAAATAAAAAACTTAGAAAGTAGAACTTGTAATATATTAAAAGTGCCTAACTTAATATCAGAAGCCGTAATATATAAATAATTATAATAAAATGAAAAATATTAATATAAAAAAAAAAATATCTAAATAAATATTTTAAAATATTAAATTTAAATATTAAAAAAAAAAATATATTAAATATTATAAATATCTATATGTAATAAAAAAAAAAAAAGCATTTAGAAGAAATACCATGTTATCTAAGTCCTCTATATGGAAAAAACAATTACCGAGAAGTTTTTGGAGGAGGAGGTTATTTGCCTGATGGAGCATTTGTATATACTGGATCTTATGTGTTATGTAAAAAATTAATAAAAATAAAAATATATAAATATATAAATATAAATTTATAATAAATATTTATTTTATATATATTTTTTAAAAGCTGATGCAAATATTAGTTAATTGCAAAGTTTAGAAAACACAAAAAGATACGTAAGAGGTGGTCCTAGAAAGCATAATTATTTTCATCCTTCTCAAGTCAAATCTGCTATAGTTACATGTGGAGGCCTATGTCCTGGTTTAAATGTAGTAATTAGAGAGTTATTTTTATGTTTATTTTTTAACTATGGAGTTAAAGATATTTATGGTATTTCTTATGGATATAGAGGTTTTTATCTATATGATTGGAAAAAATTAGAACTTAAAGATGTTTAGGAAATATAAAGATTAGGAGGTACTATCCTAGGGAGTTCTAGAGGAGGTTTTGACGGAGAAAAAATTATTGAAAATTTAATTAAAAACGAAATAAATCATGTTTACTTACATATATATAGGACTAATATACATATTTATCTAATAAAAATTAGGTTTATTGTTTAGGTGGAGATGGTACACATAGAGGAATTTAAGCTTTATATAATTTAATAAAATAAAAATAATTAAATATAGTTATATGTGGAATACCAAAAACTATAGACAATGATATTCCTGTTATAGATAAATCTTTTGGTTTCGAAACTTCTGTCGAAGAAGCTGTAAATGCAATCACTTCAGCATCTGTAGAGGCACATTGTGCAGAATATGGGGTTGGTTTAGTTAGATTGATGGGTAGACATGCTGGTTTTATAGCCATGGAAGCTACTAATGCTTCAAGAGATGCTAATGTATGTCTAGTACCGGAATTTAAATTCTAAATTTATGGAGAAGATGGAGTCTTAGAATATATCTATAGAAGACTATTAGTAAAAAAACATTGCGTAGTCGTAGTTGCAGAAGGAGCAGGAGAAGCTGCTATTGATGCACATTTATCTCATAGTAATGAGAAAGATGCATCGGGAAATAATAAATTAGCTGTATATATAAAAAAAAATAAAAAAAAATATATATAAATATATATGTATATATTATATATAATAATATATATCTATATATATATATATATAATCATAATTATATATATAAACTTTAAGGATATTGGTATATTCCTTTAAAAAGAAATAGTAGAATATGGCAAATAAAAAGGAATAGAAATTACTTTAAAATACATTAATCCTACATATATGATAAGAACTGTACCTGCAAATGCTTTAGATAGAAAAATGTGTGCGTAAAAAACAATTATATTTATATATATAAATATATATATATAATATAGATAACTAAGTTAAAATGCCGTACATGGAGCTATGGCTGGTTTTACAGGATTTACTGTTGGACATATAAATGGAAGATTATCTTATATTCCTTTAGATGAAATATGTAAAGAAAACTCTACGAGAAGAATCAAACCAGAAGACAGGGCTTGGTAGAGACTTTTAGCTTCTACTGGATAACCTACTTTTTTATCAAAGGAAAAATAATAAGAGATTTATGAAAAATAATAATAAGATATTTGAGATTTTATTTATTTTATTAAATATATTTTTTAAAAAAAAAAAAATATAAATAATATTAAATATTTTTATTATTAGTCTAATTTTTAGTAATAAAATATTTATTTTTTATTATTATTTATATATATATATATATATAAATTTAATTATTTATTTAAAATAAAATCAGAAAATGGACAAATCTGAACTTATTAGTGAATTAATTTCTATTGAAAAAATAGACTCTGAATTGATTAAAAGCGAAATTAAATATTAATAATAAAGCCATGAATTTTAAAATAAATATTTTTATAATAATAATATAAGTTAATAATAAACTATATAATAAAATTAAGACATAAATACCGAAACTACACAATTTGATTTAATTTAAGATGAAAAAAAAAGTGGATTTTTGAATTTTTATAAAATTGAAGATAGTATAAACTAAAAATAAAATTTAATTTAATTATAGAGAGATTTTTAATAATAAAACAATTAAGAAAAAAGTACTAATACCCCAAATAATAATGAAAATAATTAATTTTTAAATTAAAATAAAGTCTAAAAGCCTTTATAAAATATAAACTAAAATAAATATTAAAATAAAGGTACGAATTATTTTTGTTTTTAAAGTGCCTTAATAATTTTTAATTTATTTTTTTATTTCTGTGTTTATTTTGATTACGATTTTAAGATATATAATAATTTTAAAAATTATATTGATACATAATTGGATTATTGTCTCTTTCAAAATAAATTAATTAAACTATATTAAAAATTATATGAATATGAAAGAAATCATTATTATTATTTTTAAAAATAAAAAGAATTAGAAAATAAATATTAATAATTAATACAAATAATTAATAATTATAAATAAATATAAGAAAAAATGTAAAATATTATAGATTCTTATTAATAAAATATAATAACTTTATAATAATAAAATACTATTATATAAGAAGACAATAAATATTTAAAAGATATAATTGAAAATTTATAAAAAAGTGTAGATAAAGAAAAAAATAAATATAATGATTATGATATTATGGAAATTTTAAAAGAATTTTACGGATGATTATTTCTAAAAAAAATAAACATAATTAAAATTTCCTTTCAAAATATATAAATAAAAATTAGGAGCAAATATAAATAAAATTAATAGTTTAAATTAAATAAATTATTTAATTTTATATATTTATTTTAAATATATATATAAAAAAAATTCGTTTTTAAATACATACTTAACAAATAAAAAACGTTTTTTATTTAATACTTTTAAAAATATATAAAAACATATTTGTATATATATATATATATATATATATATATATATATATATATATATATTATTAAAGAATAATAATAATATTCAATTTATGATAAAAGTTATATTATTGTTATCATCACTAATATTGTAATTAATACTATCTTAACAAAAGATTGATTTTAATTATTATCATACTACATTAGTAATTATTATTATATTATATAATATATTTTATTTAAAAATAAAAACAGCAAATAAATAATGAAATAAAAGAACTCTAAAAAAATTGCAAAAATTACGAAATATAACTTAAATCCTAAAACCCTGATTTATATATTGTAGATATTAAACAAATAGATAATAAAGAAAAAAACATTTTAAAAGCCTTTCTTTTATTCGGAGAGCATCCACGAGAAATGATATCTCCTGAAACAGGATTAAATCTAGTAAAAACCTTATGTGGCTAAAGCAAAATAACTTAAAACAATAATATTAAAGATATAAGATCATTATATCATATATAAATAATGGTAAATGCAAACCCAATATCAAGATAATTAGTAGAAAAAGGAGATTTTTGCAAAAGAGAAAATGAAAATGGTGTTGATACAAATAGAAATTGGGACAGTCACTGGAAATTAGTATATTAATTTATAAACATAAAATAAATTAAAATATAAATAAATAATCATATTTATATTTATAGAAACAAAAATATAAATATATACATAATTATATATTTATATTTATTTCATTATAAAAATTTATTTATATTTATATAGGTTTAAGATCAAAATTTATAAATAAATTCAGGTCCGAAACCTTTTAGTGAAATAGAATCTTTAACTGCAAGCTAAGTTTCTTAACTTTTTAAGCCAGATATATTTATTAGTATACATTCTGGTACTTTAGGTTTATATAGTCCTTGGGCATACTCAAATTAATAGGCTAATAGAAATGAATAAAACATGATTGATATATTAAATATAGTAAATGATAAGTATTGCAAAGAATGTGGAGTTGGGGCTGCTGGTAAAGAAGTTGGTTATTTATGTCCTGGAACTTGTATTGATTATTTTTATGAAAATGGTACTGAATATGCATTTGCATTTGAAATTTATGATAAATATACGAATTTATAAGAAGTTCTTAAGCCTAAAGTTATTTAATTTTAATAAAAAAATTTAAAAAATGGAATTTCTTTTTATGAAAAATAATCAAAAAAACATAATTAAAAATCTTGTTTTTTATAATCTGAGTATATTTTAATATAAAATTAATTAAATTATTTTAAATATAATAGAAATTAAATATTGAGTAAATAATTTTTTGATGATCCTTATACGAATTGTTTCTTATATTTTAATCCAGAAAATAAAGAAAAATATGAATTTGTAGTTAATAATTGGACTAATGTATAAATTTTAGACTTTTTATATTTATATGTATATTTAAAATTTATTATATAAATTAAAATAGATTTATATATAAATATAAATTATATATTAATATTAATATTAATATATATATATATTAAATATATATATATATATATAAATTACTTTTTATTTATTATTTTTTCATAAATCATCAAAAGGCTATTTTAGATGTATTTATTTAAGTTGCTTAGAAGAAAAATATGCTTTGAAATCATTTTTTAGTTTAAATTTTATTTTTTTAATACATTTTATTAAAATAAATATTTTTTTTAAATAAATATAAATTTAAATATTTTTTTTAAAAATATATATTTTTTATAATTTATTATTAATTAAAAAATAATAGTCTATTTTAATGATTTATTATATAATTTTTATATAAAAATTTTAGAAATCTAAAAATATAAATAATAAAATTACATATATTATTTAATTTTTTGTTATAATTAACTGCATATGTTAATTATAAAAATATTTAAATACTAAATATTTAATTAAAGGTAAAAGATTTTTATATAAATTATTAAAAAAAATTAAACAAAGAAATTTCATATTGTAAAATATATGCATAAACGCCTTAAAAAAAAATTAAAATCAAATATTTTATATAAAATATTATTAAAATAATAAAAGAGTTTAAAAAAAATTAAAAAAAAAAAAATGAAAAAAAAAATCCTCAATTTAATTAATAAAAATGCAAATAAAAAAGACTTAAAGAATACTCGTAGAATAACTCCAAATTAAATATACTCAAACTATATAGATAACACAATATCGACATCCAAATACACTTTAATAACATTTCTTCCTTTAAATTTATTTTAATAATTTCAAAAGCTTGCCAATGTATATTTTTTATTTATCGCTTTTATGTAAATGATAGATCAAATATCTATATCAGAAGGTCGACCGGTTATTTTATTACCTCTAGTAGTTGTCATTTCCATATCTGCGGTAAAAGATATATATGAAGACAAGAAAAGACATGACTAAGACCAGAATGAGAATAATTAAAAATACCAAATATTACGAGAGGGCGAATTTTCTTAAAATCCCTCAATGACAATTCAGGTTGGTGAGATAATAAAAATAGAAAAAGAACAGTGTTTTCCAGCAGATATATTGATATTAAAAACATCAGGAAAAAAAGGAGAATGTTTCATAGAAACTAAACAATTAGACGGTGAAACGAATTTAAAAAGAAAAAATGCTCCAAAAGAATAAAATAATAATATTAATTAGAATAATTATAATGATATGATATTCTAATATGAACCGCCTAATCCATATTTGTATAAATTTAATGGATCACTGCTATGTAATAATAAAGAAATTTCAATTAATGAAAATAACTTTATTTTAAGAGGATGTTAATTAAAAAATACTGACCATATATATGGATTAGTATGTTATACTGGGCATGAAACTAAAATTATGTTAAATTCAGTAAAAGCTAGATCAAAAGTAATATATATATATAAATAAATATATAAATATATATATATATATATATATATATATATATATTTTATTATAGAAATCAAAAGTAGAAAATTTAATGAATAATTTTATTTTATTAATTTTTGTTATTTAACTTTTTATTTGTTTTATAACTGCTTTAATAGCTTCAATTTAGAATAAAATACTATTTAAAAATTTATCTTATTTAAATCATAATACTATAAATATAGAAGTTTCTTTTTTTCAATAATTATTAATTAAATCAGGCGCTTGGTTGTTGATTTTTACTAATTTTGTTCCAATTTCTTTATTAGTAACTCTTGAAATGGTAAAATTTTTTTAAGGAATCGTTATTTCAGAGGATAAAAACACCCAATTAGTATATAAAGAAGAAAACGAAACAAAAATATCCAAAACAATAGTCCAATCATCCAATTTAAACGAAGAATTAGGCTAAGTTCAATATATATTTTCCGATAAAACCGGCACATTAACCTCTAATATAATGAAATATAAATGTCTGACAGTCAACGGGATCTCATATGGTGAAAAAGAAGACATGACAGCCCAAGATTTATAAAAATTTCCGAAACTAGACAACGTAGACTTCAAAGAATGGCAAATTTTTAAAGAATTAGAAGACTAGAATTCTCCTAATTTCCCTTATTTATTTGATTTTTTACAAATGCTATCTATATGCCATACTGTAATAACTGAATATGACTAAAAAACCAAAAATAATATATATAATGCATCATCTCCAGATGAACTTGCTCTATTAAACTTCGCAAAATTTACGGGATTCGAATTTATTGGAATAGACGAAAACGATAATATGACAATAATATATAAAAACTAAAAAAAGTACATTTTTAAACTACTTCATGTACTAGAATTTAATTCAACACGAAAAAGAATGAGTATAATAGTTTAGAATGAATAAAATGAAATTCTTTTATATACTAAAGGAGCAGATTCAGTTATTGAGAAAAGAATGTCATCCTCGAACTAGTAAATTACAATAGAAAAAACATGGGAAAATCTAAATAGATATGCAAATAAAGGTCTAAGGACTTTATTATGTGCAAAAAGAAAAATAGATATATAAGAATATAAACTATGGGATAATTAGTATAACAAAGCAATGAATAGTTTAGATAATAGAGAATAAAAAATGGAAGATCTATAAGACTAAATAGAAATTTAACTAGAAATTATAGGAGCGACAGCTATAGAAGATATGTTATAAGATGAAGTAGGTGAAACTATAAGTATAATAAAATAATCTGGAATAAAGGTAATAATAATTATATATATATATATATATATATATATATATATATATATATATATATATATATAAATTATTTTATATATATGTATTTATATATTTACATATATTTATTTTTATATTAATTTACATTATTTATTTTATTTTTTTATTTTAAAAGGTTTGGGTTCTTACAGGTGATAAAATAGAAACTGCAATAAATATAGGATATTCATGTAGATTATTATCTAATGAATAAGAATAAATAAAAATAGATGGGTTATAGAAAGATTAAATTTTAGATTCTATAGATTAATCGTTAGAGAGATTATAATAAATATAGTGCGATATTTAAGAAAAAAATCCAATAGCATTAATATTAACAGGAGATGGATTAATACATATAATGGAAGATAAAAAATTAATAAATTAAATAATTGAAATAGCCAATTAATGTGAGGTCGTTTTAGCTTGTAGAGTATCTCCAAAATAAAAACAAGAAATAGTTTCTATGATAAAACATGCTAAGCCAGGAGTTACTACTTTAGCAATAGGGGATGGGGCAAACGACGTAAATATGATCACTGCGGCACATGTAGGTATAGGTATAAGGGGAAAAGAAGGTCAATAGGCAGCTAGGGCTAGTGATTTTGCTATTGGAGAATTTAAAATATTAAGAAATTTATTGCTACATCATGGAAGGGAGTGCTATAGAAGGAATTCTATACTTATTTTTTATAATTTCTATAAAAATATGTTATTGGTATTACCATAGTGGTGGTATGGGTTTTGTAATGGATTTTCAGGAATTTCTTTATATGATCCTTGGATTTACTAACTCTATAATATGTGTTATACTTCCATTCCAATAGTTAGTAAAATATATGTATTTATTTATATGTTTATTTTTATATATATATATATATATATATATATATATAATTTTATTTATATATAATATTATTTATATGTTTGTATATTTTTTTAGTTTATGCTATATTTGATGAATAATATAGTGGCTAATAATTTATTAATATGCCTTGGGAATATTAATAAGGTATAAATTCTTTAATTTTTAATAAATTTTAATTCTTGATATGGATTTTCAATGGAGCATGGTAAGCTCTGTTATGTTGTTGGATATGTTTTTTAGGTATTTTTAATTTTAAAACAATATATATATATATATTAATTTTTATGATTTTAAAAAGGAATGGAAAGTACTTTTGTATAAAATGGAAGAATATTTTTTTTTTCTTCAACTGGAAACGCTTCATTTGGTGGATCTGTAATTGTTGGAAATTTAAAAGTTTTACTCTTTAGTTATGTGCATACTCCTATATCATTATTTTGTATATTTGGAAGTATTATTTTTTATATTTCTAATCATGCATTTGCTAGTAGTTAAATTGAGTCATCTGATATATATAATACATTTAATAATTAATTTAGATCTGGATACTTTTGGTTTTCAAATTTTATTTTAATATGTTGTACTTTTTTAATTGAATTTGCCTTTGTTTATTATAAATACCAAAACGAAAATCCTAAATAATAAATTTTATAGAAAAACATTTTAAAATTGCACCAGAATATTAATTAAAAAATAGATTTAGAAAATGGAAAAAATCAAAATAGTGTCACACCTCTGTATAAAAATAAAATAATTGAAATATTTTTTTAAAAATAATTTATAATATTTTTTTTTATTATATAAAATATAGATATTGTGGTTAATAATTCTAATTAAAAATTGAAGATTAATTATAAATTAATTTAAGCAATAATACAGATTTAGTAAAAAAAAGCAAAAGTAGAAACTCTAAAAGCATGATTTTTCGTCATAATGAAAAAGAAAAATTATCTTTTATTATAAAACATTAAACAAGGCAGTCTCTAAGATAACAAAATAAATAAATATAGCAATATAAAGGATATGCATTCTCATAAAGTGAACCAATAAATGAATTATAAAAAAAGAATTTTAAAAATTGATTAAAAAATACAACATATTTAAATCAAAAAAATAAAATTAAATATATATAAAAAATATAAGTAAAATGATTATATATATTTTTTTTTTTAATAAAAAAAAAAACATATATAATAAATAATTAAAATAAAAAATTAAATATATAATTTTATTATTATCAAAAATATTTATTAAAAATAGTAAAATTCATTAAAAAACTTTAATTCCTTATTCAGATATTCCAATTATATATTAATTATTTTATAAGAAAATAGAAATTATTTCTTTTTAAATTGTCTAATTTTCTTATATATCTAACATTTTTCTTACAATTTATCCATTTAAAATATTATAAAATAAAATTTTATTATGTCCTCCTAACCCAATAATATTATTATTTATTTTCTTCGCACAATATATTTGATAATCCATTTTTATTTATTTAATACATTTATAATTATTAAAATTCCAAAAAGAGATAATGTTTGATCCTCTAAAGCTTATTAAAGTATTATTTTTATTAATTTTACAAAAAATTCTATTTTCACAATTTCCATTATCATCGTAATAAACATTAATCTTTTTTAAAATTTTCTATTTTTATATATCAAAAATAATCAAATAAATATCATCTGCACCTATACATACTTTATTTTTGCAAATAGAAATTACATCTTATATTTCTTATCTTAATAAATACAAATTCGATATAATTAGTTTCTTTTTTTTATCATAAAATTAAATTTAATATTCACTTATTATTGCAATTTATTCAGAATTTAAATTTTTTAATTATTTTATCTTTTGTTTTTCATAATTTTTATTTGGAAAATTACATATAAATTATCCACTTATTTTATTGTAAGCCTTTATTTAACTTTATTTGCTTATAATTATACTATTATTATCTAATTCTTCTACAATTATATTCTATTTATAAATATTCGGGAAATTCATAAAATTAAATACCTTGTTTTCATTTAAATCATAATAATTAATATCATAGTTTCCATAATAACCAATAACATTTTCCTTTACTGAAAACATATTTAGTATATAAAAATAAGGTTTGAATTTATTTTCTGAGAAAATTAATTATTTAATTAATTATCCTTTCGAATTTTACAAATCAAAGTTTGAAATTTATTTATTATTTTATTATTTTTGTTATTAAATCAATTTAAATGAAATAAAAATTTAATTTTTGAAATTATAAAAAAACTCTTCTTCTTTTTTATTTTTTTCATGAAAAAATAATTCTCTTGCAATATAAAATTAATTCCTTTTTTTAAAAAATAACTTATTATCCGATTTAAATTTTTTTATTTTATTTTCTATTAAAGAAAATTATTTCCTCATTTATTTCCCATAATCATTTACTAAATTTTTCAAGGTTTCATTCTAATTTATTTATTAATATATATAAAAAAGTTAATTATTTAATTGATATTAATTTTCTAATTCTTCTATTCTTTGTAATTTATTATTAATTTTTATTTATACTAGAAAAAATTACCTTTTTTAAATTATTCCTTTCATTATATATTCTAAAAATAAATCATATGATATTGTCTCATGATTTTTGTGAAAAAGATGCCTACATTGTGGGCATAATTCTACTTAAAATTAAGGTATTTTTAAACATTCTTTATTTAAACAAAAAAATTATTTTATTAAATTATGTTAATTGCAGTATTTAATATATTTTTATTCCATTTAATATTTTTATAACTTTATAATAGAATTTTTATTAATTATATATAATAAATATATATTTAAAAAAAAATATATATTTTTTGTTTTATATATTTAAAAAATATCATATTTATTAAATAGGTAAAAAAAAAATATATATTAATATTATAGATATTATTAATTAAATTTATATAAGAAATCAAATTATATGAAATTTATTTTACTTTTTTCAATTAAATTATGACTAAATTTAAATATTTAATGCTTTGTTGATAACATTAAAGTTGTTAAAATTAATATTTATATATATCTGAAGATTTCAGAATTAGAAATGTAGCTCTGACTTATGGTTTATTGGTTTTTTTAGAAAAATAATGAAGTTTTATGTTTAAATATGATGTACTTAAAAGTTAAATAAAATACAATTTAAATAAAGAAAAATATAAATATTATATTGGAAAAATAAAAGAATTAAAAAATTATAATATTAAAGATAAAAAAAAATATAAAACAATATTTAAATTTATTTATTAAAAAAATAAAAAAAATAACAATACAATTCTAATACAAAATATATTTTTAAAAAAAATTCAAAAACATCCAAAAAAATTATTATTATTCAACTAAATTAAAGGAAAAATAAATAATCATAAATAACTCATATAATGCTATTTTATTTAAAAAATTACATTTATATATTTAGAATAAAATAATGTAAATTAAATTATTTTTATAAAAATCCAAAATTAAAAAATTACTAAAATCATTAATATTAAAAAATACATATTAATATATCTTTAGAAATAAAAGTATATACGAAAAAATATTATGAAAGCAAAAAAAAGTAATTTTATATTGTTTAAATATAAATAAATATAAACAAAATTATTTATAATGCATTTTTATATAAAGATAATAAATGAATTTAATAATAAAGCATTAAAATTTATAAAATATAAATATATGAATATATAAATATATAAATATATAATTATATATTTATATATTTATAATTATAATATATATTTTCTTTATATGTTTCTTAGCTATTTTAAAATTATTTTTTTATAAGAAAGTTATATTAATGATATTAATTTATATTTTTATTAAAAAAAAAATTATTATAAATAAAAATATAATAGAAAATTATAATAAATAAATAAATAAAAAAATATGTAAATAATTTAAATTTAACTAATAATGACATTTTATTTTTATCATATATTATATTATTTTTAATTCGATATTTTTTTATAAAAAATTTTATAAACTTTAAAAATTTTTATATATTTTTTTATTTAATTTTTAGTTTTTTTTATTTTGTATTTTCTTAAAATATGAATATAGTTTTTAAAGAATAATTTCTTGTTATTAAAAGAAAAAGATATTTATTATTATTATTTAAAAGATTAATTAAAACATTTTCATTTACTATTATAATTATATAATTTTTTTTTTTAAAAAAAAAAATATATTAAGAGAATTTTAAATAATTAAAATAATTTTATTTTATTAAAATTAAGATAAAAATTCAATTAAAATATTTTTAACAATATATATTATAAAATAGCAAATTCAAAAATCTATTAAAATATAATATTTGTTTATATAAGCTAAATGTTAAATAATTAATTTATAATAAACAAAAATAAAAGAAAAAATATCATAATTTAATATAATATTAATAATAAAATTTTATAATAAATAGTATAAAAATTAATTAAAAATTATAAAATGAAAAAAAATATTATTAATATGGTTAAAGAAAATTATATTTTAATATATATCAATATATATATATATATATATATATAAATATATACTTATTTATTTATCAAAACTTTTTTGTTCTTATTATTTTTTTGAAATAATTTTATATTATAACTTTAAAAAAATAAAATAATTAATATTAAAAACAAGCATATATTATATATATATCTATATATATAAATTTTAATTATAATTTATTTATTAATATAAGTTATTATTATTTTTTAAAAATAGTTTTTTAATAATTAACTAATAAAAAAAAAAATGAATGATTATTAATAATTAGAAATAAAAATGAAAGAATTTTTAGAAAAAGTAAATTTTAAAATTATAAATTAAAAAATAAAAAAAAAGATTTTATCATATTTTGAAAATTTTATCAAATCTGAAGAAGATTTATAAATAATACTTTCAAAATTATACGATTATGATAACTTAATAGGACTAATGTAAATAATATATCAAATTTTTAGTTTATTGATTGAAAAAATAAATGAATAATTAAAAAATATTAATCAAACAAATGAATATTATGAATTGGAAAAAATAGTGTAAAAACACGAAGCAGAAATACGATCACATATAAGCGTAAAATAAAAGAAATAATAATATAATAATATAATTATATTTTATATATATATCTATAAATATATATATAATAATTAATTATATATTTCATATATATTTATATTTTTTTTATATATTCAATTAAAGTAAAATTAATAATTAAAAATATATGTCGAATAAATGCAATAAAAATTTTAAGAATCTGAATAAGAATTAAACTAATAGATATAAAATAATCAACAAATAATTAATGTAGGTATATAAAAATATTTAGATTTTATATATATATAATGCATTTCTATTTTTATAAGGAATTAAAATAATAAAATCAAAGTTTAAACGAATAATTAAATTCATATAATCTTAAATATAAAGAACTTGAAAAAAAAATGAAGAATAAATTAAATTATTATAATATAAAGTAGTATTAACAGAAAAAACAATATAATAAGTAAATTATTTTAATTTAAAATGAAATTCAAATTAAAAAAGGAAAGAAGTAAAGAAAAATTCTAAAAATATAATAAATTATATAATACTCCTCCACTTTTATGTAAAATAGTTTCAGGATTATCTCCTTTAAAAGTAGAAAAAAGATCTATAACTCCAATTAAAAATACTAAAATTAAAAATAGTATGAAAACTACATGTTAATAATTAAAACAAAGCTCTAAAATAAACAGAAATAAAAAATAATAAACAATGTAAAATAATAAATAAATATATTAAACAATTATATCACAATTAAATTATTAATATTTTGAAAAATAAAATAAAAGTATAAATAA